TACACAGATTTTTTTGTAGGAATCTTGTAGTGCCCTTTGTTCATTTTGAATTGGTGAATATAATTAAAACTAGACAGGATAATCTGCGATGTAAACTCATGCAATAACACGTATGGAAAAAAGAGTTATTTGTTAGGATTAAATAAATAAGGCATAATTACCCATCTTTCTCTACCAAGTAGCTACCATCTTCACTTACAATTGGCAAAAATCTATGGTAGGAGAATAGAAAGAAATACATGAGACTAGTATGTTCACTTTGATTTGTATATTAATAAGAAGCTTAATATATCTTCTACCCAATATAAGTTCCAGTATTTTCTTTTCATGCTTTAATGTGTCTCCTTGCCTATTCCTAAAATGTGTATATGTCACACAGGCCACTAATGGGTACTAGTTATGCTTATTTCAAAAGCTAGCCTATTTAACCTTTATCCTTTCTATATTTAGGTTATATCTAAGCATTTTTTGGGCTTTTTTCTTAGAAATGTTACAATGCTATTTAAAAAGTGATAGCATAAATTACACATTTGCTAAGTAAAAACACTGCAGTTTGGGTTAATTATCTTATCCATTTGGATATCTTCCCCAAGAGTAGTGTATTAGTCATGGTTTAACTAGAGAAACAAAATAAGTAACATATATGAGAGTCTGTGAAAAAGTTTAAAGTACACATTTATTTTGGTACAAAAAAAGTTGACATCCATGCACAAATTTTTAATAATACCCATTTTTCCACAAACTTTTTGGAGGCCTTTTGTATATGAGGAGATTTATTCTAAGACTCTAGCACAAGCAACTGTGGGGACTGGCTAGACATGTCAAATTCTGAGGGCAAGCCATAGGAAGAGAGGTTGGAATTTAGGCATGAGTTAAAGCTTCTGTCCATGGCAGAATTTCTTCTTCAAGTAAGTTCCACTTCTGTTCTTAAAGCCCTTCAACTGACTGACTCAAATGTACCCAGGTTATCTAAGCTTATCTCTTGTATTAAATTAGGTGGATTATGGATTTTAATCATTAACTACAAAATACTTTCTCAGCAACATAGATTGGTGTTTGATTGCATAAGTAGGACCACAGTCTAACCAAGTTGATGTATAAGACTGAACATCACAGGTGGCAATTATCTGTAGTCACAGAATATTACTGTTCATTCATATAGGGAGACAAAGTTTTGTTTAAATAGTTACTAGATGTAACTGTAAGCATTTAATTTTCATTTAAATTTTTTTCACTCTAATCATATGATGCAAAATTAAATGAAACTCCTTGTTAAACAAAGTCTACCAAACTCACCTATACTGCTTCTGAGAAGTTCCAGCATCCAGAGAAGGAGTGAGACCACCTTGTCCTGACCTGGAGTTCCAGCCTCTGTGTCCCCACATGAAGCCCCCAATAGTCATGCCCAGGAGCTCACTAACACCAGGGCAGAAAGACCCCACTGCTATTTGTAACTCCAGGCTAGCTGAGTAGGACTCTGCTCTTTAAAGACAAGTTGCTCACTAACACCAGGGCAGGAAGACCCCACTGCTATTTGTAACTCCAGGCTAGCTGAGTAGGACTCTGCTCTTTAAAGACAAGTTATTTATGCCTCTGAAAGGCTATGTGAAGGTAGAAGAAGGATAGAGATGGCAACTTAGATCCCTGCCAAGGTTTGATACTATTTTCTGTATTTGATACTATAGGCTCAATAACTCAGAGGTATTACCACATATCTACTGTGAGACTTGAATTCTCTTTGGGATTATCAATTACTTACACAGCTGTTCTTAATGTAAGGCTTGTGGGGATTCATATTCAACCTTTACAAGTGGGAACACTCATGTAAGCTTCATAATACAAGAGGTGCATGGACATTCTTGTAAAGGGGACATTTCATAGAGAGCTAACCAATATTACCTTGAAAAAATATTACTGAAGATTAGATTTCCTTTCTAAGGGTAAAGATCACTTGCACTGTACTATTTTGATGACATTTCAATTTTATATTGATATGCCAATTGAAAATTATGAAATGGTATATGGTTGGGAGATTTTGTTTGATTAAATTCTAAAAAAAACTGAAGGATGTCTTTTATTTAAGTATGCCTGAAGTCATTCTGAACAGGTGATGCCTGTTTTTTCAAAGGTTAGCCAGTAGTTTAACATACATGCAGAAAGAACTCAAGCACAGTCTTGGGAGAGCTATTAAATGAGAAGTAGAAACATCTAAAAGACAGCTTTCCTTTCTTTGTTCTCTTAAAAGGTTAGTGTCAGTTGATGATTACTTTTGTATTGGTGAATTCAACTCCTAAATGTTTTAGTTGGTTTGATAATTATTTTAAAATATTAGCAGTTACCTATTATCATTTTAAGGTTTTTAGTTTGTTATTAATGCGATAGGAAAGAAACCAATGTCTAAAATCAATTTTTTAAAAGAATTATTTTATTTAACTTTATCTATCTATTTATTTATTTTAATTTGTTCAGAGAAGGACAAATTAGGGGGGGAGGGGAGTAAGAAAGCAAGTCGCTATGTCTGAGTCTTGAACTGTGGTCGGCCATGTGGGAGTCTAGAACCCTTAACTACCATGCTACTTGCCGGCCCCTAAAATCACTTCTTAACACAAAATGCATGGCTCATTTTGATGAAGTCACATACAAAGGGGAAAGCAGAACCTGTAATAAACATAGTAAAGCCAACTGGGTTAGAAGCAAAAGACTATGGGATTAGGTGTATGTAGTTTACACTGTATATATTAATAAATCTTTTCAGTCCTAGTAAAATTATCTGGAGTATTTAAGAGGAAACCATTCTTTAGACCCAAATGCATTTAAGCTCTAAGGATTGGGCTATCTCATTTTCCCCCTTCACTGGTTCATTAGTAGAGCACTCACTCAAGAATAACTACTTATTAGCACAGTGACATTCCAGAGAATGTAAAATGATGGAGGAAGGAAACTAAAAAATCCTTTGCTTTCAGCCAAAAAGATGAGGGGTTTAGAACAATTAAAAAAAATTCTCAAACCTATTTTGAAAAATAACCACTGTTGATAAAATAAGGGAATTTTACATTAGCAATTTTGACATCTTTAGTTGAGAGACTAAAACAAACAAAAAAACCCCACAAGTATTCTATGGCTTAGAAATTAATTAATTGCACAATTTGAATTTCCACTAAAATATTTATTTAACTGATATTTTACAGAAATAAATAATAGCAGTTTTTTTCTAATACAGGTTAAGTGCATATATATATGTAATTTTTTTTTTTTTTTTACAAAATTTAAGCATATCAAATTGCTTTCCCTAAACATAGCTTAAAAAAAGAAAACTAGGAAACAGACAAAAATAAATACTGAAATAATCACATTATTCAATGGTAACTGTAGGCCTTCTGAATCTCAGCATGACACATGATTTCATACAAGAATGTTTAGAGTTGGAGTCGGGGACCTAGGTTCCACTGGTTACTGGCTACGTGTCACAGGCAAAGTTCTCAGTATTTCTGAACTTCAGTTCTCTAGCTCATAAACAGGAATGATATTAATTACATCAACTTCACAGGACTGTTAAGCAAATTAAACACACAAATGTAGAGGAAAGCTCTTTGTAATATGTAAAGAGCTACAAAAATAATAGTTCTGCTTAATTTCATAAAAAAGAATCAATATAGATCTCACTTCAACTGAAGAGCAAGCACCAAAAATATGTGTGTGTTTTCTTCAGTTGAATTACGTCACCCTATAAACCCAGAGTAAGAAAATGCACCTTAACTAAGCACCAAAGCCTCTTGGATGAATGTGATCCAGGGGATATATTTCTATTACAGTTTTCTGGGCAGCACGGTAGGAGCTAATGAGCCCCAAGAGTCATTTAAAACTCTGAAGGCTCAAAGAAAACAAATCAAAACAAGAACATTTGTATTACATTAAACAGCTAGGATACAAGCTACTCCTTATTTAGTGACTTCAAAGTCCATTAATTCTTCACAGAAGAAGAAACACTCTGTTATTAACACTTGCAATTATTTGCTTAAGTGAACATGGCATCCTCTTGTTCAAAAGATCAAATACTAGACCTTAAGGAAGGAATAACTGGAATAAAACAACTAACTCTATAAATTTTGATATTAGTGGCTAAAAAGTTTACTAAGAACATGAGAAAGGAAAAGAATCTAAGACATCAATACAATAATGATTAAAAAAACCCTGCCATATTTCCATGCTACAATGATAAGACCTAAATTGTAAAAAATTATATATTTACAGATACATCCATCTTAACACAAATAAAAACTTAACAATTAGAAAAACTATGAGTAGAGAAAGCAGGTAATTTTAAGGCAAAAATGAATACACTTAAAAATGCTAGATAAACTGCTTACAATGACACGATTTTAACAATGGAGATATGAAATGTTTTCAGTGTTTTGATTTTCAGTATCAAGATGCAGAGAGAAAATAACTACTTAATCTTAACTTACTGTTGGAAGTTTTATTACTTTAGTCACTATGTGTGGACTTACAGTCTAAACTTAATCAAATAACTAGGAGTTAATATAATTCATCTACTCAAAATATTACTAGCAAGGTATTAGTGAATCATGTGATAAAGACATTGAAGGCCCTTCCAAAATCAGATCTATGTTGGTTAAAGACACTAGGTCATATAAAACTAGTTTATTTTCTCTCTTATTCCAACTCTTTTTAAAGACAGATCTGATGAAAACAAAATTACGTATTTCTTCTCTTAATTCCCTTGCCTCATCAGATATAGATTTCTTTGGAATAAAAATAAATGTTTTATTAGGAGTGTAAAATAAAAAAATCTTTACAGAACTTCTGAAAACAGTATATTGAAAAAGACTCAATAACCACTATGTCACTATATAACCAAACAAAAAGAAACAAATGGTTTCAACTAGGAACAATGTTTACTGACATCTACTGGATTTTTAAAAAACTTGTAACATTGCTCTAGAGCTGTGAAAGTTTATCAATACATTACAGTCTGTGGATTGGATCAAGTTCAGTCAAGCTCTTCAGTTTCTGTGGTAAAGAGGTCTGCCAGATCAGCTACAGTCAAGACGGAGGCCTCGGAATGTTTCCCTGATGAGCTTGTATGACTGCAGGGTTTCCCAAGTGAGCACAGACAGAAACAAACCCCAACATATCAATGATTATACTTGTAGCAATCAAAGCCTAGACACTTACTTGTTCCTAAGGTTTTGTAACTGGGTCATAAGAAATTCTCAGAAGAAAGTAGGTAATGAGATCATTATTGTATTTCTTCAAGATTTGTGAGAGTTCTATATATTATATTATTTTCAGCTTTGTCATACATTTTTTTCTCTGCATGTTTAATGAAACAAAGAAATTAAACCCTAATAAATGCTAAGGCTCTCACTTTACAACTTCCCAACACCTAAAGTCATCACTGAAAGTTAATTTGTTTCAAGAGAATTTCAATAGCTCTGCTAATTGTTGTTTTATTTAAGCAGCTTAAATAAAAATCACTGGTCTGTAAGACTTGGGAATGAAAACAACAAGCTTCATGTTTTAGGTAAAAGGCTCCTGTGGTAAATTCTTTCTTTCCTATAAGTCACCAGTGGAAGGACATTTCTGGTTTCAAATCACTTCTTTGCTATGCAAAGTAGCTCTGTGGAAACAATCCCTTTTAAGGCAAAGAACTCTTCCTTGGCTATCCTCCAATCCTACCTATCTGACAAGGATGAAGAAAGGCACTAGCTTATATTTTCAAAATGACTTTGAATGAAAATTATACTATAAATATTAGAGGGTTTTATGATCCCGAAGTGAAAATTTTTTAATTAAGACTGTATTGGTCTCTGCTTCTGTTCTGCCTTTGGAAGTGACATCACAATTACCAGCCAAGTTTTAAGTCCAGATATTTCTATGTGCATGTGATGAAAAACAATAATGTACAAAGCAGCAATGTAAGTTCTGTTTCATACATACCAGGCTAAGGCTTTAAAGTCAAGCATTACTTCACTTAAGAAGTAATAATCCAATGTGGCAAAGAAATACAAGATTGTTTAAATATTTTTCCATGTGATAACCTATTAATAAAATAACTTAAAGCAAATAAAGAATGTCCAGAGCATTAATTAAGAAAAATTGGATAAGTACAATGTCATGGCTTGCTTTTAAGATGTATCTGTATTTAAGGCTTTTGTTATCATCTATGTGCGAAAGTTCCAAATACATTACCAAATTTAAACAAATAGGATCTACTTGTAGTAAACTGTTACCTACCTCCTCTCAGCAGTTTTGAGCATGGCCTGCATTCGTTCTTCTATTGTTGCTTTAATTAAGAATCTGTGTACAATAGTGGGTCTAGAAAGTACATAACAATTAAGAGTTTAAAAACATAGTAAGACAAATTAATATCAACGGGGTGCACAGATGGTATGTCTTATTTGTCAGCTAGTGCCCAATTGTGGCAGGTACTGATGAAGGTGCTGCTGGGGGAATTAGAACAAACTCTTTAATCTGCACAAACTAATTCTAATTAGAGGAGAGAGACAATAAACCCATGAAGAAATGAGTTTCAGGCACAGACAGTGGCAAGAGGAGGCTGACACGAGTTGGCACATGAGAGATCGGAATGAGGCCAGAAAGCAAAGGAGGTGTAGGAAGAGCATTTGAAAAGAAACAAAACACACATACACTGTCCCTGAGCAGAGAACACACCTGGAAAATGCTTAAAATGTTCAAGGGGCTGAATGAAGGCAGAGGCATGTTGTCACTGAGGGGGAGAGGCAAAAGTGAGGCTGCGAGGTGGGCAGGGGTCAGATGATACAGGGTCTTACAGGACAGGCCAGAAATCTCAATTTCTGGGTTAAAATGGGAAACCCTCAGGGGGTTTTCTGCATGATTTGGTACATTGAGTCCTAGGGTCTGCTGTGTGGAAGATGGACTGTCCAGCAGCAAGAGTGGAGCAGAGAGCCAGTTAAGAAGGTCTGCAGTCATGCAGGTAAAAGAGGATGGACTGTAGATCTGGCCTATCTTCTGGAAGTAAAAGTGAGAAGACTCGAATGAGGATTTGGATGTGAGATGTGAAAAGAGAAATAGAGGAGTCCCAGATTTCTGGTCTGAACAACTATAGATGATAAAACATTGTAAGATGGGGGAAGGCTTGGGGTGAGTGGGCAGTGCAGCAGGAACATAGTTTTGTTCTGTCCGTATAGATTAGAACTGGAAATATGAAGCTGGGACAGACGCTAAAGGGGCTCGTCTGGGCTGGGAGCTATTTATTTTAAAGTCATTCATGTATAAGGCGACTTAAAACCCCAGGACTGGATGCACTCACAAAGGAAAATGTAGATAGAGAAAAAGAACTGGGCCAAGCCCCATGGCCTAGTAATGAAGGGAGTTGAAATCAACGTGGCTGCCCATAGTTTGCATTCCAGCCCTAGAAGCTTGAAAAAACTCTGGGCAAGTGTGCATGTGTATCCAAACTCCTGACAGGGTGGAGAAATTGAGAAGGGATTGTGGTATGACCACGCCTCCATCGGTGTGCTTTCTCTTTCCATCTTTTTGTCTCTCTGGTCAGCATATGCATGCTCTGGCAATTAAAAAAGAGTTGATAGAGAAAAAGAACCTCTGACCACTGGCAAAAATAGTAATTAATAACATGAAGAGCCTCATTTCAGTGGTATAGTAGGGACCAAAATTCAACTAGAAAAGTTGAGAGAATGGAAGAGGAGAAAGTGGAGGTGGAGGTAAACTGCAAAGGAGTGTCTATGTGTATGTATATATATATATATATATTTTTTTTTTTTTTTT